TGGTGCATAGCTGTTGAAACAATACATGCCAATTAATTTGATGGGAACACCTTTAGGTCACAAATAATTAGAGAAATCAAGAAAAAATAAGAGCAACAGTTTACCTAGCCTTGATGAGTAAGCTGACGACAGACATTTAAAGTGTTTGGGGTTTTTTTCAGCTCATCAGTTCAATTTATAGGTATAGCAAGTTTCCATAAATAATGGTATATACCTTTTAGTCAATGCAAATTAGATTCCTTTTTCTAAGTTTTCATTTCACAGACCTGACCAGTTTAATGTGCTTTAGGAGAACATACATGTAATATGGATAAATTGCATTTCACCATATAACTGAGTCTGCAATGCAGATTTTAGTCTGCAAGTGATGAACTTACTAGAATTATTGCCAAAGATACAGATTTCAGCCTGGCTTACATTTGCCATAAAAACCCTTATTTTACTTTGACAATAAATAGAGACTTTGCATGTAAAATGTAATTTTAAAATACTGTCAGACTGATGTAAAAAGGTGCTCTGGTAAACAAGCACCAGGTCTTGCCTGAGTTCTGGGAGCAGGACTGTACCCAGCCACGTGCCACACTGCTGCTCACTTATTTTGAATAGCAGTGTGCTGTCACTCCATGTGATAAATGGATTTCTCCTGACTGATAGTTCAAACCTCCTTCCCCCACACCTCAGCTTGTGCAGGACTGTGGCTGGGATGTGGATGTGGCTGGGATGTGGATGTGGCTGGGATGGGAATGCCAGGTGAGTGCTGAGGGTGCCTTGCTTGAGGCGAATTTGCCATTCTTGAACTCATTTCCCCCTGTACAGGTCAGTGTCACCCCTGACAAACTGCACAGGGTCACCAGTTTAAAACCCTTGCTGTGGATTGTGAATTTGGCCCCCCTTTAGTGTTAAACATTGGCAGGTGGCTGATAAAGAACATAATGGTAATGGGATATGTTTTGGATGGATTATTTCAGGCACTTAAGCAAGGCACTGAGGGAGTGGCAGGCCAGAGGAAAGCATTCCTCAAACCTGTTTTGCCACCAAGTAAAATGTTGGCAGATCCACAATGATCTGTGACTGTGTGCTCAGGGGTTATCTAGGAAGGACTTCAAAGTGACTTTCATGGTTTGTTCCAAAATATATTAAAGTGAAGTAAATTAAATTTCTTTATTGTTTTTTATTTTCTGAAAAACTTAAGGGCAAGATGTTTCTGTGACAAGCCTCATGGATTTGGAAACACTGGAAGAATGTGTCAACAGTTTGAAATCTGGGGTCTGACAAAGTGGCCTGTATGCTCAGACAGATGTTTCAGTGATGAAGAAACTTGCATTTTATGCCAACAGTTTTGAATATTTAAAGCTCTTTCCTGTAGAAGTCCTTAGTTGACTGAAGTAGTACCATGGCTCTGAAGTTGTGTCTGCAACTGAATTCCCCAACTGAGGTTTGTCTTGAGACTTATGTGTGGGAAGCTCTGCAGTGCTGTGGATGATGTCACAACTGGATATCACAACTGGAAACTCAGAGAATATCATGTTTATTACTTATTAAACTGGCTGTTCCAGCAGTCCTTTAGCCTCTGAAGGATATTAAATGGCAGACACTGCACAAATAATGAAGCCTTTCACATGATAAGATGGGAACAGAGGAGCTCTGGTGGCCTTCAGGGCAGTACAGCAACCATTTTGTGATCTGTCTTCAGTTGCAGGTCATTTTTCATTCATATATGGTTTTCCTAGCCTGAGATATGCTATACTGATTTTTCTCCTCTGAGTGCTGCTGTATGTGATAACCCTGATTCATTAGAAATTGCCTGCTGATTTAAGATTCACTCTGATTTGTTTGCAATGTAATTTTCCTCTTTACTGCATTTTCCCCATTTTTTTATTTAATATAAGCATGTGTGAGTTTGAACCCACATGAGACAGTTTTGCCATGCTGTAGGTGCACGGTGTTACTCTACTTTCATCTCCCTGAATGGATCCATGTGATATTTGACCTCCTTAGGGCATCATACTCTGCTCTTAATCTTTAGGGGTCTGTCCAGCCCTGGGTTTGGAAGCATGGTGTTATCACCATGCTCAGCAGAGCTCATGAACACCTGTCAGCCTGGAGCAGGCAGTGCAGTATATATGCCAACAGCAATGGTCAGGTGAAACATATGGTCATTGCAATAAAGTGACCTGAGCCATGAGGGTAAGGTTTGAGCCCAGCCTGCCACGACACATTTGCCTTGATCATACACATGCACTGTTTTCTCTTGTGTGCAGACAAGGAGTTTGCTTAAGTTAGGCACAGAGGAGCATTACAGCATAATGATTTTAAGCTGAAAGATGGTAGATTTAGACTAGATACAAGGAAGAAGCTTTTCACGATGAGGGTGGTGAGGCACTGGAACAGTTTGCACAGAAATTGTGGATGGCCCATTCCTGGAAATGTTCAAAGTTGGATGGGGCTTTGACCAACTGGGTAGGTGCTCTTGTCATGGCAGGGAGGTTGGAATTAAATTATATTTAAGGTCCTTTCCAACCCAAACCATTCTGTGATTCTCCAAGAGGAGAACTGACCTTTGTAAGATTGTTTCTATTCAGACACAGGCTGGTCATCGTGATAGAAATCTTACTTGGCTCAGATATCACCGTGAGACAAGCTCACAGGTACCTGGTGAAGCAACCACTGTGGTACAGAATGGTTGCTGTTCTGGGGAGGACACCCATGATGCAGGGCATTGGAAAACCCACTGCTAGAGATTTGATTCACAGCCTCTAGAGGCATGCTCTCAGGTCATCAGCAGTACCCACACATGGATCTGATTTAGCACATTATTTTAGATGACCAATGGAACACATGACCTCATCCTCTGCTCACCAGCTGCATTCAAGAGCTGGATGGAGACCCTCCTGTGGTCTGGCTTAAGATCAGTGGTGTTTCCTCCCTGCTGTGCTGGTTGCCTACTGAGTCCTGTGCAAGGTTTGTGACCTCCAACTGAAAACTGGGAGGAAGGAGCTGCAAGGGTTGCATCCAGAAATGCAGCCATAACAATAAGATCAGTCTCTGGAACAAAGAACCACAGAGAGACTGAGTTCTCTGCTGGGAGTAGTGGGGACTTGTTACCATTATTAATATAAGTGCAATAAAATGATGGGGTAAATGAGGGGGCAGTTTCTGTTTTCCCTTCTGTCTCCTTTTTCTTAAACACCTGATGATGAGGCTGACAAGGCTGCTTCTCCACCTCCTCACAAGGGAGCATGTTGTCATTTAAAAAGTACAATTCTTCAGGATCAAGAAAACAGTTTTAATTTAGTTGATGGTTTTTGATACTGCTGTGTGTGCAGGATGAAGTGGTCAAACCTGGGGCAAGATCAGTGCTCAGGATTTGATGCTAAGGTGTAAGGAAGGAAAACCCATCCCCTCTGCTTCTGCAAGGCGTGGGTGGTGTCCCAGCATTTCCCCAGAGTGGAAGGAGGCTGCAGTGTCATTGTGACAGTGAGTGCTGATCTCAGCAGGGACACATCCCACACTTCCCACTGGCTCCAGCGAGGTGTGTTCCCAGAGCATGAAAAACACAGTGTGTGTGTGTGAGAGAGAGCCCAGGACATGCTGCTGGAACACCCACTGGAGGATGCTGGGGAGAGAATGCAAGAGGGTAAGGACCTCCAGTGGCCATGGGCCATGCACCAGAGGCTATGGCTAAGATCGTGAGTAATGCTTCTCTCTGAATGCTGCTTGCATTCAAGCTGTGGCACTTATGCTGTAAGAGTTAGAAGGAGCCCTCTCACTTCCTGCATTCTTGTCTCTGAATCCCTTTGGACCCATCAGTCATGTCTTGGTGACACCTGGCAGAGCAGCTCTGTTGTCTGCTTCTCTGCTGGCTCCAAGCCACTACAGAAACACAGGGGCTGGAAACAGTTGCATTCTGCTGCTTCCCTTAAATGTTATATTTGATTTGTAATAACGCTGTTGTTTATTCACACTTTTGGGGATGACTTTTCTTAGTCTGGGAACTATCTAACTTCAACAACAATCCCCCCTCCAAGCGTTTTTGGGACAACATGTTGCTCTTTATAAATGTTGAGGGGTAACATTCTCCGTGACTGGTAGGCACTGCCTGTTCAGAGTTGCCCGGGGACCTTGCTGGATAAGTATCATGAAACCTGAGGCAATTGGATGCTGCTTTACAGCCTGGAAACAGTTGTTATGCTGGGTTATAGTACCATGACCTTGTTTATAAAAACTGATGATATGTTTGTCTTCTCTACAAGCTAATGGGGCTCCTCACAGCACTATGGAAGTGACCTTGAATGGGTTTTTAATACACCTAGGATGGCTTGCAATGTGTTAGAACTTTCTGAACGTGGACAGGGAGCTCTATCAAGTACCTGTTGTTTGACCTTGCTGAAATAGCCTCTTTAAATGACTTTTTTTTCCAAAATAATGAATCCTGCTTGAATGTTTTAATTTCTTGGCTTCATAGAAAGCTTGAAAATCTTATTGAAAGTTAGTCAGTCTGATTAGGAAATTATTTAATGAAATAACACAATACATTAGAGAAACTGTCAGGAGACCTATGTTCCTGGCTTCCCTGTGAAATAGTAGATATGTTAACGTGTAAGATGATTGTGTTTCAATAGGAACAGTTTGATTGCTGATGATTTTCCTTCTGGATGATGTAAAAACTAGGTCCTTTTGCAGGGGGAAAAGCCCTGTCTGTGGTTTCCAGCTGAAACCTGCCCAGTTTTGTCTTTCATGAGATTTAAGAAGGTCTTCTGCTGGAGGACAGCAAAACCAGTGTCACACCCTTTCCATTCCCACTTGTTTACTAAATAAGCCCTAGTCAACTATGCAGAGGTATTTCTTATCACTTTACTCACTGCAGCATGAACTCATTGACTGAAAAGTACAATAATTTGGTTTTGATTGGGTTATAATGTGCTATCAGAAAGCCACCATTATACTGTTCTTCTTGAATTAATAAGTATTTTTGTATTTCTTCGTTTTGTGATTTGCAGACTCAGCTCTTGGGAGTTTTACTTGCTGCTGCTTCAAATTTTCTCATCAGTGTCTCTTTGAATATACAGGTATGATATGGTTTCTCTTTATTCAGAGTTTATATTCAGCAAATAGTTACATTGCAGTTTGGTTTTGCTGAAGTTCAAAATGCAATTTTTGTTGCATTTAATAAACTTTTTCTCTTTCATTAAATGTAATCTAGCAGTGCCCTGCTGTAGTTGCTAGGAGTTGAGTTGTTGGGAGCTCTCAAGCTGTTTTGTGCTGTGACTGTCATACAGGAATAGAAGAAATGTTCTTAACTCCTCTTCCTTTTAATGTGCCAGAAAGAAATACCAGCTGTGAGTCGCTTGTGGTCCCACTGAAGCTGGGAGTAAGAAAGGA